CTTGTGGGACTAACTTTGAAAGAAAAAATGTCCAATTCCCATCGGCGGAAAATTGTGATTTTTATGGACTTTTTTTGTCAAAGCAATACTCCTTCATTTTCCAACTAAATGACGCCTACAGCATGTCATTTGAAAGATAAATAAATGAACTTAACAATGGTGTAAAAACCAACCGAATTTGTCAAATATATTCTGCGTTATTACACGCCAAATTTGGATTCGAATTATTTTGATACACACTGTAGTTCGCTACAGTAGCGAACTACAACTACTTCGCTACTACCCACCCTTGGTAAAATGCAAATATAGTGTTGCGATAATCGCGCCCGGGCCACGGGGTGATCAACAGGATTCCATCGATTCAGCTGGACAGTTTGGGCCAGCAGCTTGCAATTTGGATGTACAGCTTTGCAAGCATGGACCTGCAAGTGTTCCCACTGAATTTTTGAACAACAGGTTGTGTAATTATGGCGTATTTGGTTGAATTTCATGCGATAACCAAAATATTACTAACTTTAAGAGAAACTACTAAAAAAATTACCAAAAATTTTCAATTACCAAAAAAGTCAGAAAAATCGCGAAATATTACCAAAAGTAATTTAAATTACCAAATCTGGTCAGTGGTCACACTGCTTCGCATTTTCGCTGTCGTCATGCAGTCGTTATAAGGCAAACTTTAAATTGGACCAATCAGTGTCCGCTATTCATAACAGTCCGCCATATTTTTGAGATCAGTGAGGATGACCACCCACCGAAACATCACCGCGATTGTTGATGAACTTTAGACCAGAGTAGAGACATACAGAGACGTAACTGACCGTCGTAAACACTGCGGAAGATTACGTTATCATGTACCCACTTTTTTTCAGGCGACCGGGCGAAAAATGATCAACTGCGCGTGCTCAGCAGGTTTAAAGTAAGTCGTCATCAGGTCGTCATCCAATCAGATGCATGCATCTAGTGACTTGCCGAGCATACGCACAAAAAAGTGGGTACACTAGTTACGTCCCTGTATGTCTCTTCTCTGTGTTTAGACTTCGCTAATGCTTTCGTTTCCCCGGGTGTAAATAGCCGGGGGGAATTAGTACCCTCGCACGGCGCTTCGCGCCGTCGGCTCGGGGACAAGCGTCACAAGACTGATACTTCCCAGCCATCCAAACGAGACACATCCATTGTTCAAAAAACTGTCAATGAAGATTTGCCTCTTATCTGGGAAAGTTTAGAGCTCCAAAATCTGTCCACGAAAGAAATTATAATGGCTTCTTGGCGTAATGGCACTCAGAAACAATATAAATCATATCTTTTACGATGGGAGGAATATTGTAAGCGAGAAAATGTTGCACCTCACAATCCTGGGAAAGCATATGCTATCGAATTTCTTAGGGAACTATATGATTCAGGTGTAGGATATAGTGCTATAAACACAGCTCGATCAGCACTATCGTCAGTTATATTACCCACGGCAGGGATTCCATTTGGGAAGGACCCTTTAGTTTGCCGGCTTTTAAAAGGGGTATTTGAACTGAAACCTTGCCTCCCAAAATACGCTGAAATTTGGGATGTAATTGTAAATAAAGTTATTGGTTACCTACAACAGTTTACTTCAGTTTCTGAAGTCAGTTTAAAAGATCTTACAGTGCAGAATCTTGCCACTTTAATTTATTGTGTTTACTAACGGGACAAAGGTGTCAAACAATACACAAGATATATATGAACTTCATCCAATTGGAAACGGACAAATGCATTATTACGATTAGAGAAGTTTTAAAACATACTAAGGCTGGAAAACACCACTAAGTGCCTTTGGAACTTCGTTCGTACCAAAGGGACAAATTAAAGAGTTTGTGTCTTAGAGTACCTTAGTAAAGAATATATCAAACGAACTACTGTTCTCAGTGGTGAACAATCAAAACTATTTCTGAGTTTCGTAAAGCCCCATAAAGCGGTAACCAAAGACACCATCGCCAGATGGGTCAAATCAATACTACAGCAATCGGGAATTGATACAGATAAATTCACGTGTCATAGCACTCGGGCTGCATCAACGTCGTGTGTCAAAGCAGCAGGACTTAATTCAAAACAAACAATGCAATCTGCTGGCTGGTCCAATTCCTCTACTTTTGCAAAGTTTTATGATAAGCATATTGAAACTGAAAATTTTGGTTCAACAATTCTCAACACAGCAGATGTTGAAACAGTAACAAAGTTTAAGCAGCTATAATGTAGTTGGGTTACTAAAACAAATACATTTTTGTTTATCCATTCATGTGTTGGAGTGGGTTCTTCACGGTCGCAGGACTTTGAAATCTCATGTGACTCCGTAGTGACGTGACTGATGACGTAGTAGAATTCTAAAATCAAACGCGACTTGCCTGTAAGTTGAAGTTTGATTGGGATTCTACTAGTCATCAGTCAGGAACGAAGGAGTCACATGCCCAGGTACTCGGTACCATGCCCTTCCCTCTCGTGACTCTTCGTTCCTGAATCCTGCAACCGTTCATGTTAGAAACTGATCAGCGAAGCACGCACGCGCTTCTCATGTGACTCCTTCGTTCCTGACTGATGACTAGTAGAATCCCAATCAAACTTCAACTTACAGGTAAGTCTCGTTTAATTTTTAGAATTAAATCGTCCTGAATTTCGTTCGGGTTAAAAAATAAACATGCGTTTAAAAATCGTATAGCGTTTCTACCCTCACTGTTCTGCATAATATAATCAATATTAAGAAGCGACTGCAAGTCGTACGGGCGAAGAATACTCAGACACGGGTTTGGTATAGCCTGTTGATTTAGAAGAGCAAGACGGTTTGTTTTGTAGGTTTTGAGATAGGACGAGAATGAACACCCCAGCGACTTAATTTACACTGCTGCTTGTTCAAGAGCCAGTGGTAAACCACCAAGTTCTTGAAAGAGTTTGCATGCTGCAGCCTCGGTGTCGTCAGTACGTGGAATACCAGTTCTGCTTAATAAAAACTCCTTCGCATCATAGACATCGAAACATTGAAGTTGCAGACAGGAATTTTCTCTCATCTCTTGTACTTGAACATCGTTAACAAACGTACTTGGTTTTCTTCTCGTAGTGGCAATAATATGACCATAATTGCATTTTTTTGCCAAGAACCAGACAACAGCTTCCGCACGCTGGGGGACAGTTGTAACTCGTCCATATCGTCAATAATGAGCAACCATGGTTTTTGAATACGAGATATTCGAGCTAGGGTTTGAGAAAGCGTCACATCGAAGGAATTAGAAACGAATGTTCCGATGGATAATGCCAAGCTATTAACAGAATTTTCCAACTTCGTCCCATCTTCTCCAGAAAACCATGCAGAAGACTCCATGGTAATGGTTTATCATACGATGAGCGTACTTTACTGCCAGACTTGTTTTACCACTAGCTTCCTCCTAGTCCGCAGATTGCCGCTTTTCTTGCTGAAGATTGATGCAATTGTTCATCGCTCTTGAGAATTACTTCGATTTCTTTGATTTGGCGTATTCGATCAGTAAACCAGGAGAAAGTATCCAGGGCGTTAAAAACATACATGTCCTCTTTGTTACTTTTGAAGAAAAATGCACTACGCATGAGTTATCTCGACGACTGGAAATGTACCTGCTGAGCAGGTCGCTTTGACTTGCACATAGCTCTTGCACTTTTAACTCAGTTCTAGCTTGGCTTTCCTTCAACTTGTCAATTTCTTCCTTTAGGGAAGAATTGATAACAGCAAGTCGTTCCAATACACATTCCTAAAAATATTATGATTGTACAGTATTAATGGTTAACTAAGTGAGTATTATTATATATTATGGATGACGACGTGACATAGAGATATCAGCTTAATCTGTACTAGCCTATTTCGAAAACAACGTTGAAGTGTTCTTTATAAAGTTTTTTTAACGTCTGTTGAAGTTTAAACCACACAATTTAACACATACCCTGTTGTCAGCATCAGCGTTCAACTTTTTAAATGTATTCTCAAGTTGAGAAACTTCTATCTGGACTATTTTTAGTAGCTCTTGGTCTAGTGGATTACCCAAGCATAGCTCCTTTCCTGTAAGGAGTTACAGATAATATATTGAAATATTGCTTGCCTATTATGAATGGCTTCTGTTGTGAGGTGAACAAAGAATATTAATTTTCTTAGACCGCAAAGGAACATGAAAACATTTTTTGAGTTACTAACAGTAATAGCTAGAGTTGTGGTGTGTTTTGCTTTCTGTTGGTTGGAATGGTTACGGTTAATATTGAATCAAAACGGTTCAACTTGATCAGCTAGATTAGGTACACTGTTGAGCTACTGTACTGGAACGAGCCAAGTCCAAGCGAGGGCATACTGTTCTATCTGTTGAACTGTGTAGTTAATTTTACTAAAGTGTTTAATTTTAATATTTTCTTTGTTTTTGAAAAATTCCACATTTTTTCTGCTAAAAAATGAAACCTTTCTTACCATGTGTAGAAATAATTTAAAACCACTTAACAAAAAGCAATTTAACAAAAATATTTACAGTACCATTTGTAGGATCTAGCTAGGTCAAGCCCGAATTTAGGGATTAACCCGCGATAGGGCAGAGACGAACAATGTTTTGTTTTATTCGAGAGACGAACTCGCGTTGATTTGTGTGATTTATAAAAGTTGTTTGAACGTTGTAGTGTTGTAGTATAGCCAGATGACTAACAGTCAGGTATTTGTCTTGTATTGTTTCATTGTTTGTAATCGTATTTGTATAGTTAAATATCTATGTTTTGTAAATTTATTGTTTAGAAACCACACGTTGACAACTTGACACAGTGAGATTATATATTTTGACTTTGTATCAATAAATATTATATATCCTTTTGGACATTTTGGATTGTTTATTCAACCGGGGAAATACTGGAACTTACACCATTTTTCTTCCAAATATTTAAATCATCAAGGACAAGATTTTCTTCAACCGATGTCAATCCAGCTTTTTTCACCAATGACTCCATCTCCTGTATCGCAGTCTGAAAATTTGGTTCGCTCCAGTGTGAGAAATCACAATGTGCCCATTCATTCCTGATATCTGACCTGAGTTTCTTTGCAAGAAGAGCAGCACCAGAGGAAACAAATGGTTGTGCTTCACCCATTACTGACAGAACAGCAGAGGTACCATGGTGTGGTCAAAACCAGTGAAACTTGCCATGAAAGGTTTCATAAACAATTTTGCCAAAGATAAAGGGTCTTTCACAGCGAAATCATAAAACTTTGGAGACTTGCGCATAGTATTGTTGTTGATACTGTCGTAACGTAACTCAGGCAGATATACACGGTGTATAAAAAAACAGAGTCAATTTTATTGGTTAATACTTTCAAAATGCATAAAATTAATTTTTAGAGTTTGTTCTTTCTCTTTCGAACAAGGGCGTCATTTGTGTCTAAAATTGTAAGTGGTAACGGCACAAAAGAAAATTTATTAGAAGGCACTTCATAGTTGCGTGTGAAATTGTAGAATTTTCTTGTTTAAACTTTTAATACTGTCGTTGTTACACGAGAAAATTGTAGTATGAATGATTTAACAGATATTCGGTTCTTTTGATGTTTTATTCATCTCAATGTACTCCTGATATCCTTTCCAAAAACAATAAAAACAGTGTTACGTCTATATCGAAAATGCTGTGCTGAGTGGTTATATTACTACCTTAAAAAATAAGCAGAAACTCGACGTTTCGAGCGAAGGCATTTCGCTACTAACTCTTGACGAAGGGCCTTCGCTCGAAACGTCGAGTTTCTGCTTATTTTTTAAGGTAGTATATAACCACTCAGCACAGCATTTTCATATTGGTACTACCTACACTGGTACAGACAGTTTTAGTATTTACGTCTATATCGTCTGCACTGACGCCATCGAATCGATCGCCCGCTTTAATCCGGACCGCATGTAGAATATGAACTAAAAGTACGTAATGCACGCAATGCCGTACAGTAGTTTCTTAGTTTTGATGAACAATTACCAAAATGCTACCAAAATGCCTTAATTGTTTTGGGTTTTTCTTGAAAAAAACTACGCTAGAGTATCGATTTAGCATTGCATCTCGGATTTTTGATTGTCCCATTTCAGTCACATTAAATAATCTTTTTCGAGAAGCGACGAGAACCACCGAATACATCAAATTTCAAGAGTACTGTAGCTTACCTTCAAAAACTCATTAATAATTCATGAAGCAATTATCCAATCTTGAGTAAGAAATTAGTCACATGCATACGTCTTTATACCAGCTAAAGACACTTTAATAAAAGACCATTGTTCTGCAAACTATATAAAGATTTTTATATAAAGATTTTTATATAAAGATTTTTATATAAAGATTTTTATATAAAGATTTGACTTATTATGCAAACGTTTTTGAAGCCATTTAAAAAACTCGCAGGTCGTGTTTTATTAGGTCTAAAGCCACTTGCACTGCGCGCTCGTGGCTTTAAACCTAATAAAACACTCCTGCTCGTTTTTTAAATAGTACGTTGAAAGCTTGAATAAATAAACTTAATGTAAACACAAACTGTTTGCTTTATTTATTGTTTTTTTTTAACTTTACGTTTGAATTGACTATACAATTTGTAGAATTATTACAATCCTATAAAAATCAATGAAAATCGATATCAGTTAATACATATAAAATAATGATTGATAAATGGATTTGATATTGGTCAGCAATTGGTAAATACCAATCGGTGTCAATTAGAAAATTGCTGTTGGTTGATTTTGGTTGATCGACTGACTTTGCAATCATCAATATTTATACTGAATGCAAATGTCAGCCAGCGATGTGCCAGATAGTGTGTTGCCGGATGGTACCGGATAATAGTCTACTGGATACTGATCAGGGAATATGACAACTGGATAGTCTAGAGCTGTGCAAACTCCGGTTATTTTAGCTCCTGCAGTCAAATCTCCGGCAAGGAAATTTTAAAGACCATGTCAACTCCGTAATGTAAACAAATCCTTTGTTTTTGATTGAGCATGCATGGCTATACCGTATATTGTTACCCTGTGAAACTGACGATAGCCGATTAAATTCGCGCGAAAAGCATATGCTCACAGACTCAATTCAGCCATATAATAAACCGATTATTGACCTCGCTTGTTCGGTCTGTACTGTGAAATATCAGACCTCTGTTTAAAAAACCTCGGTCTGATATTTCACAGCACAGACCTCACGCTCGGTCAATAAGCCGTTATTATTGGATGCTCGAAGTACACGTTTGAGTTTACATGGAATTATGCATTCTATATTAGATTATCTATTTATATTACATTATTTATATTAATGATTCTAAAAATCTAATGTTCTAAATTTGTAAAAGTCTTGAAGATATGCAATCTGTTTACATAGCATATTTTGTAATGTTTACAACATGAGCGGCCGAAGGCGAGAGTTTGTATATCTGATACAACATGGACGCGAATGTTGTAAACAACTTAAAAAACGGCTCATCTCATGAGTTCATTGGCGAAGTAATTTTAAAAATAAACATTGTCTAAGCCGAGAAAATCAAAGTTAAAGTTTATGTAAATCAACATGAATCTGTATCACATATAGGCTACAGATACGACACGCTTATGATTTTTCTTTGTGTTTTCTTCATGAATTATTAATGATTTTTTTAAATCTATATTTACAAATGAGTTTTTGAATCTCTCTGTTCTTACAAGTGGCAGTTCGTAGTCATGCCCTCTTTGGCGTAGAGTTCGATTTAGCTTGTTGGGTAGAAGTTCTCTCAACGCATTCTTTTTTTAATACTTTCGACCATAGTTTCTTGTCTCTTTCTGATATCACCACTTTAAAATTTTGTTATATACCCATTTCGGAATGCACGATTGACAAACTTGTCAATTTGACTTATCTATTATTACTTGACGACTGCTATAAGCTGATTGGTTGATTTTAAATCTCATTGTTTTTTCCACCAATCAGATCAGTTTGTTACAGAGTTTTGCACTGCTGTTACAGAATTTTGCACTGCTGTTTGAGATAATTAATTGCATTGAGATCAACCAATCACAGTCGAGTTATTTTTATGTATGTTATTATATACAGAATAGACTAGTATATAAAAATATCCGCTAACTTTACCCAAGATATGATCTGCATGTATATTATAATTGCCTCGAGGAAAAATAACCTCTGTCAGTATGGCATTGTCATCGTTTATGGACGTAGTATCTGCAAGTAACATATATTTGTATCGTCCACCGCTGCTTGAATTGTCATCATGAATTGAACCAAGTTCCAACTGAGGATAAAACATTACCATCGTTGATACGGAGGGAAATCATTGGTAAAAAGTCGAATAACTTTGTTGTCGGTGTACGCGGCCCACATAAACAGTTTCTTTTCAATATACTTACTCTCGCAAATGACACCTAGATCTCTTATTAAATTTTGAACATGGGCGTTCTGGAATGATTCGTAAATTGCCAGGCTACGATGGTATAAAAAAAGTGACATACGGGTAGACGTAAAATCGAACATATCACGACCCTGCTGAACTTTCACAATGAACCGCTCGCCGTTTTCGGGTGGCGGTTCACTGTACTTTGGACCCACCTCTTCAAGCCGATGATGATGGTGGTTTACTGAAATCATATATTCCCCCTTGGATGGAGAACCACAGGACCTTTCCGTAGAAGTAAGTAAAATGCTAGACTGTTCCAGTAGGCTTCGACACAACTTTTTATGTCTTTTCCAATGCTTCTTTTGACACGCCCTTCCACAATATTCAGCACTGTAGCATTTCGTGCATTTTTTTAAGGTGCCTTTTTTTTGACAACACGAACAGAATTTATCCACGTTCTGCAAAAAGAAGTTTTGATGGGTTCGTGTAAATTCCACTTCATTGTGATACATTAGGTTCCCGCAGCATTTGGCAGATACCAACGTTTTTTCGAGTTCAGGAGGTAAAATTGGAACATTACATTGAAATGGCAAAATCTTGTTTGCTGGAAAAACCTGCTTACTGAGAAGATTGATCAGATCGAAGTCATTCAAGTTTTGAATAAGACCAGGCCCACCATTATCGTTAATCTTATTGTATTCAACGACAGATGGTGCGCATCCACTGGGTCGTTTTCCAATACGAATACCTCCCAATCTATTGCCCGAAACGTTATTTTTTGAAATGTGACAACACGAGTTACTTTGAAGCCATATACCCCAACAACTATTCTCGAAAATGCGGTTTTCCGTAATTAATGCTGAAGAATCTCGAACAGATATTCCAAAGTTGTCGTTATGGAATATATAATTATTGTTCAGTTGAATGTCAGCATTGTCATGTTCACATTCTTTCACAAAAATGCCTTCACTTGCATTACAGTTCATCTGACTGTTAGTAAGAACGCACTTTTTCGCTTCAGGACCAACCAGTAAACCTTGTCTGTTGTTGTATGAATGAACATTTTTAGCCAACAAAGTGCCGCCTTGGCGTACTTCCAGACCAGCCAAGCCATTGTTAGAAAACGTACAGTTCTCTACCTTTGCAGCACCAGCAACACAAAGAAATCCTCCAGCACCAGAGTCTCTAAAGTCGCAGTTCTCAACCTTCGTGACTCCTAGTGTGTGTAATGATGGGCATGACAAATTGCGGCTAGAAAAACCGCAATTATAAAGCAGCGCGACTGATGTAGGTAGTAAATTGGCATTGCCCTGGTCAAATAAAAAGCTCATATTAGCCAAAGCACATTTCGTATCGAGAAAAAGTCTTGAATCATCCTTCACACTGACTCGTATTCTCGAGTCTTGTGTTTGGTCTCCACAGCCAAGTGCAACACAGTTGTCAAAAACAACATCACTCGTAATTTCATATGTTCCTGGGTAAAGAAAGAGAACTCTCTTGCATGACGGCATAGTATTCAGAGCTTGTAAAAGGTCAGAACCAGAATAACAAAACCTGGCACACTTCTCTAAATAGGAAAATTTCTTAAATGGATCGTATTTACTAAAAACCTCTCGAGCCAAATTATAGGTTTGAGAAGCAGCTAATTCAGCACCCAGCTCGTCATTTAAACCATGTAACGCTAAAGCTTTTCGGGCATAACCTTTCCAACACTTTGGGCACTTGGATATATAAGCTTCTGCATCTTCCAGAGCTTTTTCGTAAAGGTGAAGCCTGAGATAAGCCGAAGCTCGGTTAGAAAAGAACCTTGGGTCAAGAAATTCCAGTTTCTTCTTCCGGTCAATGGCGCTAGAATACGCTTCGACAGCCATTTGAAAACGATCTTCACCAAACAACTTATTTCCTTCCTCGCGCAACTTCTCAAATTCTGCGGTCTCTACTTCTCTAGATTCCGGGGAATCTACGCATACCTCGACTTTATGTGGAAGATGAGGAGCTTTAGAACAATACTGAACATGCCTTCGAATAAATTCAGGCAATGGCAAGACGTGAGGAAATAAAGAGTTAAGCGGTTTAGCTGACAAAAAATCATTTTCGCCTTCCGGCAACCAGTCCAGAATTTTAACCGCAAAATTCAGAGCCTGCATAGCCTGTTCATGCCTGCAGAATACACTCAAATAAAGAGCATGTTGGTAAACAACTTGGGCCGTCTCTGGGTGAAACACCGTCATTTCCTTATTGTTGCACCGTTCTAGAAAAAAGTATTTCAGATTTTTCTCGATTTCTCCAGCATGCATGCATAGTGTTCTCCACATGTAAAACAATGAAGGGTTGGTGTAGTCAACTAAATTCATTCCTCTGCCAGCTACACTTGACAACAGTTCGTCAGGAGAATAGGATTCCGATAGGCTATGTTGTAATAACCGCACAGCATCAATAAAACTCTCTTCTTGTGCACTAGGAGTAAGGTTTTCTTTAACGACGTCAAGCACCAAACGATGGACTTGCAAACATCGACCACTAGATTGCCTGAAGAGCGAAAAATCCGTCAGCAACTTAAAAATTTGATATCTACCCAGCGATGTTCCCACAAAAATCCGAAATTGCTCATCATTCACGGGTGGCTCACCAATATTGATTAAATGTTCCTGAATTTCGTTCGGGTTAAAAAATAAACATGCGTTTAAAAATCGTATAGCGTTTCTACCCTCACTGTTCTGCATAATATAATCAATATTAAGACGCCATGTCGTTTGGACTGCTAGTCGTTCGGGCGAAGAATATTCAGACACTGGTTTGGTAGCCTGTTGATTTAAAAGAGCAAGACGCTTTGTTTTGTAGGTTTTGAGATAGGACGAGAACGAACATCCCAGCGACTTAATGTACGCTGCTGCTTGTTCAAGAGCTAGTGGTAATCCGCCAAGTTCTTGAAAGAGTTTGCATGCTGCAGCCTCGGTGTCGTCAGTACGTGAAATACCAGTTCTGCTTAATAAAAACTCCTTCGCATCATAGACATCGAAACATTGAAGTTCCAGACAGGAATTTTCTCTCATCTCTTGTACTTGAACATCGTTAACAAACGTACTTGGTTTTCTTCTCGTAGTGGCAATAATATGGCCATAATTGCATTGTTTTTGCCAAGAACCAGACAACAGCTTCCGCACGCTAGGGGACAGTTGTAACTCGTCCATATCGTCAATAATGAGCAACCATGGTTTTTGAATACGAGATATTCGAGCCAGGGTTTGAGACAGCGTCACGTCGAAGGAATTAGAAACGAATGTTCCGATGGACAACGCCAAACTATTAACGGAATTTTCCAACTTCGTCCCATCTTCTCCAGAAAACCAGAAGACGCCTCCTTGGTAATGGTTTTTCATACGATGAGCGTACTCTACTGCCAGACTTGTTTTACCACTTCCTCCTAGTCCGCAGATTGCCGCTTTTCTTGCTGAAGATTGATGCAATTGTTCATCGCTCTTGAGAATTA